GAGGTCATATATATATATACTGGTGCTCTTGCTTTTATCTGTTTAGGTTGCTCGCCCGGAATAGGTAGGGTGCCTGTAACTTCCGTAAAACCACAACAAGACTAATGCCACGGAGAACGATCAAAGCAAATGACTAGGACAACTGGAAACAGGATACGGGTACGCTCCCTCCAGGGGGGCGTATCCGAAAAACGCAAGGAGGAACTGGGCATACTACTATGTGCCCAGCTAAACATCAAATTCGCCGCCTTGATCGAAACAAAGGACTCCTTCATAGTCCTGTGCCTGGAAGAAAAGGATGTACATAATATGCTCGCTGCCGACTCAGCAAAGAAATTAAAAGAACGAGGATTTGAAACAGTAATACCACCACAACTACGTGCAAAAAAATCCGTAGTAATTAAAAGGGTAGACAAAAATATACTGAAAGAAACACCAAGCTACATTGCTAACAATATAGAAGAGAAGAACCCATGGGCCAGAGTTGAGGAGGTGGTGCTAATGCCTGGTGCTCCCACCATGATGAAGGTCAGGTTTGGAGAGATCTCCATGGCACAAAAAGCCCTAGAGAGTGGCCTCTGTATCTCCCACTACCATCTGTCAAAACAACAAATTGAGCAGGAGGAATTTTACGCATTAACACCGTGTTGGAACTGCTATAAATACAATCATCTAGCCATAAACTGTCCCCAAAAAGATAAGAAGTTCTGCTCCGAATGTGCAGCAGAGGGCCACACATTCAGAGAATGAAGCAATAAAGATAACCCCAAATGCCTGAACTGCAATGGGGACCACCGAACACTAGCAGCACGCTGTCCCATAAGGAAAGAAATAATCAGGAATCTGAGAGAAAAAGAAAAGACAAATAAGAAGATGGAAACAGACCCTAACAAGACATATGCAGCAATTGCAAAGCTGCAAGATACCACCTCCAAAGTCCTGAAGAAAGCCAAAGAAAATCCCCTCATGCAACCTACATACCTCAATCTGAGCGAAGGATTACCTTTCACAATTCTAACCAGTATTATTCATGCACACATCAACAACATTGCAAAACCAGGAACCTTTGGAAAAACGACCAGGGGAATGTTTGCTGCAAACAATCTGCCGGAGGTGAAATTTCCAGACGACGCCCCCTCAACAGAAATATTTAAAATTGTCACCGAGAGTAGCCTGGGAATAACCAAACCACAGGAGCACATAACCAAACTAGGCACAGAAGAAAACGTCATGGAAATAGACCCTATCACCCAAGCAGTCACACCACAGCGCAAATCATCAGATTCCACAACTCAGCAAACAGAGAAACCACAACCTGCAAAAGCTGACCCAACCAAAGCGAAATCAAGAAAAGAATCCCACTCTGGCCATCGTGCCCCCCCATCTTCACCAAGCGATGTGCAGCCAGCAGACCTAGGCAATGAGATCGGCATCCGCTTCTACTCAGTCAACACACCACCTACAATAACAAATGATAGACTTCTGCAGGAAATCAAGGAAGGCACAATCAAATTCACCTACGAAGATGATAGGGTAGAAGAATCCTACATAGACCAGTTGATAAATGCAGGACTTATAAGCACCAAATACAACAAAATTGAAAGAGTAGATATAACTAAGTTTAAGAAAATCAGAACGGGACTAAACGAGGAAAGGAATAGACACTCGCCAAGAGATACACGAGCCAGCAAACACCCTACACCAAGTTCTCGGGATCCACAACTACTCAAAACAAATAATTAAAGATAATTCAGCACAACGTCCTTGCCTGGACTCTAACGAGGAAATCAGAACTTACTAACATATACAGCACAATATTCCCAGACGTCATCCTTATCAACGCACATGGTCGGAAAAACAGTGACAAAATCAAGATCTTTAACTACCATGTACATCAAATGAACATACACGACGAACCACATGACGGAATAGCAATAGCTATAAAACGCAACATACAATACAAAATCATTGACAACTTTCAAAGTAATTTTCTTGCAGCCGAAATAAATACAACAAGAGGACCAATAACTATTGGAACTTCATATTTAACATTCAAAAGGCCAAAATTCCCTACAGGGGACATCTTAAAACTAATGAGGCAAAACAATCCAGCATACTTCATAGGAGACCTCATTGCTAAACACACAACCTTAGGAAACAATATTAGAAACCCGGGAGGAAAAATCCTCCATGCTCTCATCGAACACGGGACAATAACACACCTCGGGCCCGACTTCGCAACTTACGTATCAGCCGGTAACTCTGGGAAACCAGACATTGTTTTAACCAATAGGCATCACCATCTAAACGTACATCTAAAAGCTGGACCCACAACAACCAGTGATCATCTACCCATAATAGCAACTTTATCCACATCCCCGATACAAATTCCATCAATCCCAAGATTTTCACTCAATAGAGCAAATTGGGAAAAATTTAAATCGGATCTTAGCAACAATGAATCAACACTCCTACACAACAAAGACACAACAGAGATTGACAAAACACTGGATACATGGTACAATGAAGTAATAACAGCAATGAAAAACAACATCCCAAAAACAACATACCGTACATTACCACATGCACAATTAACATATGAAGAGAAAATGATCCAAACTAGATTCACCAATCTATATGAATACACAAAAACACACGGGTGGAGCAATGACAACAGAATATTATACAGGAATCTAAAAGAAGAACTGAAAGACATAAGCAAGAACAAACACAATGAAACATGGAACAAGCTGATCCATGATACACAAGCAGATTACAGAAATCCAAAAGCATTCTGGAAAAAAATAAAAAACCTAATGGGAACTAATTCGGAAGAAACTAGCTACATAAAGGACAAAAACGGTAGAAAGGCAACAGAACCACACGATAAAGAACCAATATTTAGAGAATACTGGAAAGACATATTCAGAATCAACTACGAAGACAATAGAAGCTTCTGCCAAGAAACAGAACAGGCAACTAGAACATATTTGAGCCAGAACACAGAGAAATGGAAACCTACCAGGAAAATCAACCCCCATTCATTAAACATCAATAACCCAATAATTGCTCCATTAACTCAAAATGATATTGTAAAAACAAGAGCAAGCTTCAAGAACAAAGCACCTGGCATAAGCCAAATTAATAAAATCGTACTACAAAACATTCCTCAGTCTATGATCGAACAGCTTAAAAATATATACAATGCCTCACTTGCAACTGGCTTCTTCCCTACCAAATTTAAAATAGCCAAAATCAGATTCATCCCAAAAGCAGGAAAGAACCAAGCAGAGAACTACAGACCTATCTCACTGCTGGAAACGCCCGGTAAAATATTGGAAAAAATAGTCAACCACAGACTCAGAAATTTTCTAGACCAAGAAAACAAATATAACCCGAGACAGCACTGCTTTCGGAAAAATCGAGGAACCAACACAGCAATAGCACTAATATACGAATCAATTGCAAATGCTGCAAGCAACAGAGACCAATGCAATATAATTCTAAGAGATGTGTCAAAAGCATTTGATAAAGTCTGGCATGAAGGACTGAAGTTGAAAATAATCAAATTGGACATGCCTACCAATATCACAACACTACTATGCAATTTCTTAGACAACAGAAAGGCCAAATTAATCATCGACAACCACCTAGGACAAACTTTCAACCTTCATAGTAGAGTTCCCCAAGGCAGTAATATATCGCCGACATTATACACTGTATACACGGCAGATATGCCGCAACCACGGCAATCAGAATATATAGCATACGCAGATGATGTCACGCAGATAGTCAGGTACCCAGGAAAATCCAAACAAATGATGGCCATTAGAACAAGCAGAGAAATAGAGATAATAAACAACTATGAACGAAAATGGAAGATAAAAACCAATGTCCAAAAACTCAAAATAATTCACATCGCAAAAACAAACCCATGCCCTATTATTGTCAACAACCAACAAATACGATATGCTGCCAACGGAAAAATATTTGGACTCAAGATAACCAGAAACGGAATAATCCCCCACATCAACGAAAGAATAGCTATGGCAAAATCACAACTTACAAAGCTCAGAAGATTCCTCTAATTAAACACCAACACGCAATTGCACCTATACAAAGCACTGATCAGACCACACTTAGAATACCCTCCGATACCTCTGAACACAATCGCAAGAAAAAATCAACTTAAATTTCAAGCAGTGCAAAATATAGCCCTCAGAAGAGCGGCAAAACACCAACCACCATACACACAAACAGCACAAGACATACATACAGAACACGGCATAGACCCACTCAACACCAGAATACACACCCAAGCAAATGCAATATGGGAAAAAATCCAGCAAGAACAGGATCCCATACTAAACCAAGTAAATGAGGAAAACAACAACACATCACACAGATGGTGGCCTAGAAGCAGAAAAAATGATAATGAAGAACCAGAGCCTCTATATACACACTAAAAAAGAACCAAAAGATGGGTACAACTCTCCAGTCACACAAGGACCTGGAGGGACCCCACAAATAAACAAAGACCTAAATAGTTCACAAACACCCACAATAAAAAACTAAAAACGAAAAAGATGGGGATCATCCCTCCAGTGCCACAAGGACCTGGCGGGACCCCCCCCCCTATCATAATATGCCCCAAGGAAACATCAAATAGAACAACTTAGCTTAGCTTGGCTGAGACCGGCCTTCCCTAACCGCATGAGTCCTCTAATGCAGCACTGTTGACGAAAGACAAAAAAACCCGTCTCCGCAAGGTGGATAGCCTACCTGCTGTTAACCTCCTCTAATTCCCACTTCTGAACTTTACCTTGTACTGTACCCTTCTTGCACCCTCAGAGCAAATGCTCTCTTCTCTCCGTATCACCGACCGACCTATCTGTCATTGTGCCAGAAGCTTGTGACTGGTGTTGTTGAGTCCCTCAGCAAAGGCCGTGTCAAGCCTTTGTAAAAACCGACAAGATCCTAAATAACACCTCCCACGCCAGCAACCTCAAGATCTACACAGATGCCACATCAACATCAGATGTTCCCCATGACCTTGAGCACTCAACCATTCCTGACCGCCCCTGTGACACCATAGAGGACAAACCCCAGCAACCCAACAGACCAAAGAGAGAGCTAGAAGAGACCAGTGACACAACGGAATACGTCAGCAAAAAACCCAAGTCGACCAGTATGTTCAGCCCACTCTCCAGCAATGCTCGAAAGAACCTCGCAGTAGCGCTGGGTCTGACATCAACAAAATCAATATACTTTGGCCGACCCTCTGAACTATCAGAGCCAAGACGAACGTACAAGACCAAAGCCGATGGCAACTGCTACTTCCGATCCATCAGTTATATAATCACAGGATCAGAGGAGAGCCATGGCATCATCCGAGATCGAGTCGTGCAGCACATGAACACTGACATCACCACGAAGCTCCAACACTACCTGAACCAGAACGTTAATGACTATGTGACTGCCTCTGGAATCTCACTGGATGGAGTATGGGCGACTGATGCCTAGATCATGGTCACAGCCAGTTTGATAGGATGTGACGTTGCAGTATATACCAAGGTAGGCCATTCAATGCAGTGGCTAACGTATCTTGCCAGCTGTAGTCTCCAGAGCTTGATAGATCATGCGTTACATCTTGATAATGTGTCAGAGCACTTCATTGTTGTAACCAGTGTTTAGATATATGTTTTGTTAGCTCATGCTTCATTGTAGTCTGCACTTGATTAGTTTACAACGGCATTTAAGCGATTAAAATTGTGTATTTTAGTTTATAAGGTTGTGTCATCAGCGTGAGAAATTAAAACAAAATTTAATATCTGAGTGTGTTTTTTAATTTAAATTAAGATAGTTTAGCCAAACCACTGAGTTCAAAACAGAACTCCCATATGGCTGGTTTCTGAATGTGTGGGGGGGAGGGGTATAATCTGGCCTAGGGGGGTATGAAATAGCCTAGCCTGTTTTTTACCCCGGGGTATAAACTGGACTAGCCCAGAATATACTCGGGGTATAGTCTGGGGAGGGGGTATATTTTGGGCTGTTACACTAGGCCTGGGCTGGTCATTGAGACACCACATGGTGTGGTGTTCGTGTGGTGGAGTAACTTGTCCTCGGGTGTTGATATGAAGGACCTCACATGGTCATGGAGACATCAGGTGGTGTGGTGTTCACGTAGTGTAGTAACTCGTCCTCGGGTGTTGTTATGAAGAACCTCAGGTGTTGATATGAAGAACCTCACGTGGTCATGGGGTCACTGTGTGGTGATGGGTGGTGTCACAGTACCTCAACCTCTGCTAGGTGGTGTTGTGTTATCTCGTAGTCAGGGATTAGTCTTGTTCTTCTCCTCTGAATTCTTTCTGAGGATTCAATATCCATTCTGTAGTACGGTGACCAGAACTGAACTGCGTAATCCAAGTGAGGTGTCACAAGTGCAAGGTACAGTTTTAGAATGACCTCGCTAGTCTCGTAACTAACACTCCTTTGTACGAACCCAAGTACTTTGTTAGCCTTGTTTCGAGCAAATACACATTGTTTTCTCTATTTAAGATTCCTACTCATCATTACTCCTAAATCTTTCTCACAGTCTGATTTCTCTATAACATCATTGTTCATCTGATATCTGGTTTCTCTGTTTACATCTCCTAGACTAAGTACTTTACCTTTATCCACATTGAATTTCATCTGCTATTTTTCAGACCATTCAAAATATTTGTTTAAATCTTCCTGTAGTTTTGCGGGGTCCACGTCAGATTTAATTACACGCCCTATTTTAGTGTCATCAGCAAATTTACTTATGTTACTGTCTACGCCTATATCTATGTCGTTTATGTATGTAATATATAATAATGGTCCAAGTGCTGAGCCTTGGGGTACTCCACTAGCGACGTTACTCCAATCGAATTTAGTGCCGTTAATGCTAACTCGCTGTTTCCTGTTCTGTAACCAAGCCCTAATCCACTTAAAATATATCTCCTCCAATGCCATGAGCCTCCACTTTTCTTATTAGTCTTTTGTGGGGGACTCTGTCGAAGGCTTTGCTAAATTCAAGATACAGGATATACAACATCATAATCGTGACCGTCGTGCACTGATTCGAAAACAGCTGAAAAGAATGTTAATAGATTAGTTAGACATGAACGCCCGCTAGTGAAGCCATGTTGAGAGTCATTGATCAACTTGTTCTTCTTCAGGTGATTTCGAATAGAGTTTGAAATTATTGCTTTCAATAATTTGCCTGAAATTGATATTAAACTGATTCGACGGTAGTTAGATGATTCTGGTACTACACCCGTTTTTAGTGACATGTTAAACAATTTTGCTAAGGGCATACTAAGCTCTTCCTTACATTCCTTTAATACTCTGGCAAATATCTCATCGGGACCTGGTGACTTTTTAGGCTTTAGCTTGTTTATTTGCTTATTATCTCGCTTAATCTATTTCTTCACTATCTCTGTATAAAGCCGGTGCCTCTGGTATCATGTTTAAATTTTCGTTGGTGGAAACTGTTGAAAATATCTATTCAGATTATTACTCATTTCTTGGTCGTTATCAGTTAGCTCGCCGGTATCTGACTGTATTGGTCCAATCTTTTCTCGTGTTTTAGTTTGATACATTTGATAGAATCCCTTGGGGTTTGACTTCGCCTCCCTTGCTACTTTCAGTTCATTATTCCTCTTTGCTTTTCTTATCTCGGTCTTAACCCGACTGGCCAATACCTTATAATAATCTCGAAGGTAAACTTCACCACGATTTATTCTCTTTCCTATAGCATTCCTTTGTCCAATAATATTATTTAAATAATTATTTATCCATTTGGGGTCATTATTGTTTGATATGAGTTTTCTGTATGGTATGTTCTGCCATTGTGCATTAATAACTCATTATTAAAATCGTTGTGGAACTCGTCAACATTAGATCTCGTGATCAGGTCACCCTCAAGCATCATATTTTGTGAGGTTATCTTTGTCAGGTCTCCAGGTAAAGTGAGGTCGCTCTCTGTGGGTACATTGTGTGAGGTTACCTCACGTGAGGTCATGTAATTCATCCCCAAACGTAATACCCCTAATCTCAGCTGTCTTTTTAAACTATCAAGGTTTGCCCTTCTGAAATCTGGGACTTTAATGGAATTTTCCTTACGACTGCCATTAAATTCAAATTTGAATCTAAATTCGTTTTATGTTGACTTAGGAAACAGTCCGCAACTGTTTCAAGAAAATCCTTTGATTCAGAGTTACTGTAAGGTCTGTCCTATCTATTTGACTAAAGTTAAAGTCGCCTACTATACAGACTTTGCTATGTCTGGATGCCCTACATATTTCATTCAAAATGAGTCACTCATTAACTCTATCATGATTAGGTCTATATATTACTCCTATGATTAATTTTTCCCTACCATCGGTTAATTCTATCCAAATTGTTTCTGTATTCAGTTCAGTTTTTATTTCCTTATTTCACACTTTGAGAATATCCCTGACATAGATTGCTCCTCTGCCTCCTTTTCTAAACTGCCTATCGGTATGGAATAATTTGTAACCTGTAATTTGGTATTCGACAGGTAACTCTCGTGAGTAAGTTTACCCATGTTTCAGTGAATGCTATTATATCGATTTTTCGGTACATACCAACGCCCTGATTTCATCCATTTTGTATCTCGTACTTTTATTGTTTGCGTAGTAGACATTTAAGTTAGTCGTGATCTGAGTACTCCCTTTGTCGCGTTTAGGTTTTAACTCTCTGCCTTATTTAGTTTTGTCATCATTCCTAACACTATTTCTCTGTATCCTTTCACTTTGTTTACTCGCTCCCACTGCAGTCTCCTCCACCCCCGTGCTCATTTGTTCCCCTAGCAGTTTAAAGACTTGACATCTTATGAACTGCCCTCTCGAGAGAGCCAGCTAGGGTTGCCACACCATCCCTAGACAGATGTACCCCATCCCTAGCATAAAAGTCCCTTCTGTCGTAAAATATGTCCCAGTTGTCAACGAATGGGACTGATATTGACTTGCAATATCTGTCAAGACGGCCGTTGACACCAACTGCTCTTGACAACCATGCATTTCCAACTGTCCTTCTTGGCAGGACACCACATTTGACAGGGATCCCTCCCTTCACCCTTATACGGTCAATAACTGTCTTAAACTTATCAAGGAAGCTCCTCACTACTACACCGGCCAATGTCACTGCCTCCTGCACTAAGGCAGATAATGGGTTTGTTCCCATTACCAATCAAGATATTGTCCATTCCGTCAACTATATCCCCCACCCCAGCTCCTGGTAAACACACCGTCATCCAATTTTTATTTTTACCACTCTATCCAGGTATCGTAACTGGGAATCACCAACAATTAAGGTTTTCGTACCTTCCTTGTCAGCCTTGTCCCTGACTATGCTAACGCTCAATTCCCCTATCAAAAGACTAAAAGAGTTTTTACTCTTAGCTGTTGTCATTTCCTTGGTGTCCTTCCTCACCACCAGTTTGGTCGTTCCTCGCCTCACAACTTTTCATTCGCCTGTGTTTTCGTCAGACACGGACTTTCCTTGCATCGTGTCTTCTTCCTTCATCCTCGCAATCACTTCATTAATTTCAAGTTTTCGTCCATGACCTTCACTAAGTCGGCCAATACAGCCCTGTTTACAACTAACACTAGCCATTATCGACAATTAATCCCCAGGAGCTAAGTCTGCCGTGACCTTTCCTCCAGCGAGGCCAGAACAGCAAAGTTCGTTGTGAGGAAGAGAAGACATGTATGGAATATTGTTCAACCAGTCATGGTGGAGCTGAGTCTGTAGTAATATCCTGACAGTCATAGAGATAAGGAACGATAAATTCCCTTAAAGAAAGATTAAAAGCGATAAAATCTTAAGTAAAAAAAAATTTGATTTACTTAATAACTTAAAAATAATTTTGAAATTATTACTTATAAAAGAATCGTCCCTTAAGTCAAAAGCCATTAAACTATATATTTCCTCTCTGGTGAGTATAGGAAGGTAGAAACATGTATCATCAGTTGACAAGGTCCACGACCAACTGATGATACATGTTTCTACCTCCCTATACTCACCAGAGAGGAAATATATAGGAGGGAGATAGGAAGAAACTGGTTCACAAATTGGGTGGTGGACGAGTGGAACAAGCTTAGCAACTTTGTAGTAAGTGCGGGAACTCTGGAAAGTTTCAAAAGGAGGCTAGATAGATTCATGGATGATAGAGAGTAGTAGTAACTCTCGACAGGAGCTGCCATGCACAGGCCAACCGGCCTATTGCAGACTCCTTATTTTCTTATGTTCTTATGTTCTTATATATATATATATATATATATATATATATATAGAGAATCTCACCAGCAGGTCGAGGGTTCGAGAGTCCTAGCTGGTGAGGTTGCTGATTATATGTTCAAAGTCTGTGTTATATATGACTATATATATATATATATATATATATATATATATATATATATATATATGTATATATATATATATATATAATCAACCTTAGGCATGCCGTTACCAAA